TTCTGTCATGTCAGGGGCGTAGCGAGGGGGGGGGGGGGGGCGGGGAGTGCGGACCGCACCGGGTGACACAATTTAGGGGGGGGGGTGACACCAAGACAAAAAATAGCAAAATATATAGAGTAAAAACTCGAGGGGGTGCAAATCGAAAGTTTGAGGGGGGTGGTGCAAATCGAAAACTTGAGGGGGGGGGGTGCAAATCAAAAGTTTGTCCCTAAGAAGGGTCTCTATGCCTCTGGGGGGTGACACCATTAAGTGCCGCACCGGGTGACACCCGACCTCGCTACGCCACTGTGTCATGTTATGCTCATATGTATTTATTTCTCAAGACAATCATGCATACCACATGATGTTTTTACCATGGTTAAATTTGTAATTATTATAATTTATATTAAACTTGATCTGGCCAGTTTATAGATTTAAATGAGTTTATAAAGTAAAAATTAATTTACAAGATCTGACTTTATAAGGACAGATGGAACAGCTTATGTTTGGTGACCCTCACATATAGAAGGGATCAGGTGCTCAGCAGCGACAGCACCTTGCCTTTGCTTCCCTGACTCAAGTCATGACTCAGGAGCATGGTGCTGACTCAAGTCATGACTCAGGAGCATGATGCTGACTCACAACTTCAAGGCATGCTGCTGACTTAAGTCAGGGACATGGTGCTGACTTAAGTCATGACTCAAAGATATGCTGCTTAAGTTGCATGGCTCATGAAATAGTTTTTATGCTATAAACTTTGGATAATTTTTGTTTTGGGGATTTATTAATATACAAAGTTTTATTTGGAATCTTATATTTGTAAAAAGTTTTGTAAATATATCTTTTATATCAAAATAATATTTTTGTTTGCCCTACTTCTGGGATTTATTTTACCTATAATAGATGTGCAGTTTTCTTTAACATTTAATAAACACTTGAATGTATGCCAAGAAAAGAAAATGTTTTTTTTTTCTTTTTACTTTCTTTGTAGCCCTATTCAACTGTAAATAAATGGAAGTTCAGTGATCATTGGAGTACACTGGCCTCAATTGTAAAATGTCCACTAGACATTATTAAACAAGGAAAGTATATAGTGTTATGCACCATTCTTTAGGTAATTGAATAGAGAATCAGCAGAGATTAAAAAATCCAATGTAGCAGGTATGGCCTTGAGGGCACAATTAATTAATTAATTAATTAAATTTGATTTTACAATTACATGAAAAACACCAAGAACAAAAAAAAATAAGCCATGTCCTATAATGAAACAAAGTAATGTTTATTGGATAGATAAATCATTTCTGCATTTTTAAAAAAGGTGATGTGATTCATTTAGGACAACAACTTAAAAAAATATCCAATAAACAATAACATGACCTGTGTAAGGGGAAATAAGTAAAAAAAAAATTTAAAAAGTAATCTGCAAAGAAATTATTAATATAAAATAGGATAAGGTTATTGATAACAAAATAAAAACAACAAGATTCAAGAAATTATAACAAACAGTTACTCTTTTTGTGAATACAGATATGTATCACAAGTGCGACACTTAGTGCTGACCCCCCCCCCCCCCCCCCCCCCCACCATATTTATTACTTACTACTAGGCATGCTGCCCAGCTTCGCTTAGGCTTTCGAAAACATTGAGAATTTGAATTCTCAATTAATTCGGCCGAGGGTCGGTCTATGACCTCAGGAGTTATGAAGAGGTTCGATAAAGTAATTAAGGCCTGAAATACTTTAGTATAGAAATGTATTATTTGAATAGATTCTAGATCTAGGTAGGGTCTACATCTGTGTAAGTCTAGTTTTTCCATAGATCTAGATCATCTAGATCTAGATGATCTAGAATCTCTAGATCTAGATGATCTAGAATATCTAGATCTAGATGATCTAGAATATCTAGATCTAGATAATCTAGAATATCTAGATCTAGAATCCTAATAGAATTTTTTTTAAAGTTTAACCCGAGCAAAATAAAAAAAAATAAAAAGCCAAGATGACTTGGTGTGTGTCAAACCCGCACCACCTGCGTGGTTTTAAGTACACTATCATCTCAGCTATTAAGGCATCTTACAAAACTCGGAGAATGAAAGAGGTATTTTAAAATCTTAACTTATGCGAATATGCCTATTCTTTCAAATTAATTTTTTTATCCCAAATTAGCCAGTTCCAAACAAAGATTTTGTATAAAATAATTATGTCTTGAAATAGTTTAGTCCTAATATAGAAATTTATTTTTGGAATAGTTCTAGAGTAATTAGAGTCTAAATCTAGATCTTTGCGTCTACGTCTAGTTATTGCGTAGATTTAGATCCAGTCTAGATCTAGAATCCAAATAAATAAAATAAATTTTAAGAGTTTAGGCCGGAAAAATTGTATTGTATACATTTCATAGTGTACGTAGATCTAAATCAAATTTGAATGAAATAGTTCATTTCTTTTTATTCTAAACACGGCAGATGACTTCATTAGTTAATGTATAAGCAATAGTGACGTCACAGTTTTATGTGTTCTTTTTCACATCTATTAATGCTTTTCCGGTTGCATAAATAATATTGTTTCTCTACATTCGAATACGCCTTTAATTTTTATTTTTCTTCTTTAAATAAAATTGTGGTTATACATTTAAAACTTCTAACATATTATTTTCAACAAAAGTCCGTATAAAGGTATCCATATATCGCTGCCGATTCTGACGTGATGTCCGGCGAAAATATTTTGCGGACAGACAGACAGAGAGAGAGAGAGAGAGGTGCGAACGTGGGGTTTTATATATTAGGATAATCCTGAATACTATTTGCTTGATCAACAGACAACTGTGTATGATTACCTCCTACCTTTGTTCTGCTGTTTACCTTTACTGAACTATTAGCTGTCTTAAAGCTTGAAATCACAGACTGCTTTATTATCGCGCCACTCAACTGTTACAATGTCACCCTCGCTAAACCTCTTTTTGAAACTTTTTCAAAAGACTTATCTTTTAGGGCAATAAGAAAACCTTTCCTATTTTTATAATTGTGCCACAAACACCAATTCCACATTTAAAAAGATCTGTTAATAGTTTAAGTTTAGTGTATAAGTTGTCAAAAATAAAAGATATACCTCACGCAAGACTGATTGTGACAATATGGTAACTACATCATAAGGTAAGCCAAAGGTGGAAGTCTGTGGTGTCTTGTCTACAAACATCAGCAAACCTAAAAAAAGAACTCATCTATAGATCTATAGTTAAATTTTACCACCTTTTGGAAATAGGTCTTGTAAGTCCACAGTGTGCTGCATCATGTTTGGTATACATCACAATTGTCTTCACCATATCCACTGTAAAGTACAGCTTGACGAAATGACACAGGGCTCAGGGATTCCCTAGCAGCTCTTTTAGTTAAAATGTCCCCATTGACTAAGATGTGTTCCATGTTTCTTATCAGGTTGGAATTTAGGATCTGGAGGTCCACCATCTACATCAGGATGCTGTCTTGGGTCTGAAATCAAAACATAAAATATATGTTGACTTGGCTAGATGATTTATTATAATTAATAGGCATAATACTTAGAATATATAATAATGTAATAGCTATAAAAACAAAAGAATATTGAAATACTTAAAATATATATTAGAAACTAAGCAACTATAGCTAGTTAACAGTAAATACAAAGCAGAAATATTTAGACAAAGCTACAAGATGCTAGAGCATACACTGTAAACAGCTCCTTAGCAACCATTTTTTAAAATTTACTGGTGTGAATGGTTTTATTTTTATTTAATATTTTATAAATAATATAAATACTTCATATTATATGGATATTTCCAGAAGAGGCTGGTGTAATTAATATGAGTGTTTGTTATAATGATTAATGTCATGGTGGGGCCATTTAATAAAAAATGTTCAGTCTTAACATTGAAACAAGTTAATTAAAAAGTCTAGTGACAATTTTAGCGCAATTTCCTTATGTACGCGTCATCACGTTCAATAGATGCGTCATCACGTTCCATGGCTGCGCCATCACGTTCAGTAGGCGCACAATAGTTTTTAGTCATATAACACTATTGAAGAAAAAAATTGTGAAAAAATTATTAGGCCTAGCGAAACAAAACCTTGTAATTGTAACTCCCTATCACTCTCATATAAATTATAAATAAATTAATAGGGTACAAAAACTTATATAAACCTATAGAGTTTGACTGAAAATTTGCTGATAAAAATGTGTTATTATAATACACACTAAAGATTTAATATAGTTTGCATTTAATTTTCTTTTATTTTACAAGCTTAGGTGTGTAAAAAAATACAAATAAACTTTCATTTTGTTATTGTTAAAAACAATACACTGGCTTAAATATTATTAATTTATTTAGTTTTTGTTGTTCTATTTGAATGTTAAAAAATGTAAATAGTTGTTGCCAGCTGCTATTTACTGAAGAAACTACAAATAGATAAATTCTTCGTTAGTACAAAATTTGTCTTTTACCACTCATTCACAGAGTCTGTGGATGTATTTGTGGTCAAATATTGTAACTCATAGTTGATGCCTTTCAATGGTATTATTTCTTGCTAACTTCCCAACATTTCTACATTAACCAGAAGTATCCCTCAATTATGCAATCTTATATTTTTAAGTTAACCTAGTGTTTCCAGTTTCTTAAGACGTTATGTAATTTAATTTAGGCCTATTGCAAAAAGAAAAGGCCTACAACAAAAATAAAAAATAGAACAATTAATTTATAATGGGTAAAAAAAAACTATTATTTTATTACATCATTAAAAAATATACAAAGTGTCAAAATAACAGATACAGAGAATCACACCAAAATGTCATAAGGTATGAAATAATATTCACTTGATCACTTTTGTTTTACAATCTCAAATATTCCTATTGTGATACTATCTCATATAATCAATCCAACTTTTAACAACAGTTCATTCTTCTAAAAACAATATCAGTATCACAGTTTGTATTACACAAATATTTATGCAACCTATTTTAGCCGGTCACATGACTTGGCTTTCAATAAAAAAAAAAGTCATAACATCAACTTTAAAATGAGTAAAAAATGTAAAAATATTTTTTAAAATTTGTATTCATAAACCAGCTGTAGAGTTTGGATATTGATTCATTTCCTGGTGGGAAAAAAAGAAAAGGTATAATTAAAATAGAAATTTCTTTCTGGTAAGCCTAATTATTTAATAATTGCAAATGCTGCCATACCCAAAAAAAAAAATGTGTCAGTAGCAGAGTTTCTTCCTGGCATCTCTAAAAGTCTACCGCCCCCCCCCCCCCCTGAACGAAATGGAATTAATATAGAAAATATATACTTTTGACAGTGTCCGCCCCCCCCCCCCCGAACGAAATGGAATTAATATAGAAAATATATACTTTTGACAGTGTCCGCCCCCCCCCCCCTGAACGAAATGGAATTAATATAGAAAATATATACTTTTGACAGTGTCCGCCCCCCCCCCCCCTGAACGAAATGGAATTAATATAGAAAATATATACTTTTGACAGTGTCCGCCCCCCCCCCCCCTGAACGAAATGGAATTAATATAGAAAATATATACTTTTGACAGTGTCCGCCCCCCCCCCCCCGGAAATTGTCCCCCCCCCTCCCGAAAATTTTAAGTGCACCCCTGAGAAAAAAGTCTGCAAGAAACACTGGTCAGTAGACTATGAAAAAATGTCTCTCCATAGAAAAAAAAAAGGCTGGCTAGTTGACATATAATTACAGTATTTTATTTTATTTTCCCTACCTAGCATTGTTACAGGTCACAGGCATAACTATATAATTTTTATATCCTTTAACAATAACATACCCATTTATCAGGGGCGTAGCGAGGGGGGTGCGGAGGGTGCGGACCGCACCGGGTGACACCATTTAGGGGGGTGACACCAAGGCAAAAAATAGCAAAATATATAGAGAAATATATAGAGAAAAATGATAATTCCACTTAATAGAGTGATTAATTAGAGTGTTAAATTGCCTTTTAAGAGGTGGGGGGTGCAAATTGAAAGTTTGAGGGGGTGTAAATCGAAAATTGAAAGTTTGTCCCCGGGAAGGGTCGTTGCGCCTCTGGGGGGGGGGGGTGACACCATTAAGTGCCGAACCGGACCTCGCTACGCCACTGACAGGAGGTTAACTATCTTAGGGTACACCGTGTCAAGATATGAAAACAACAACACGGTTAAACTTGATCTTTCTTCTTCTTCTTCTTCTTCGTTCTTAATTATTATGTGTTGGAGGGGATCGAGAATTATCTGCCAGTGCGTTTGAACTCGAGACTTTGTTCAAATTTATCAACCATGAGCTTTTTGCCGACTCGACCACGCCTCCAACACAATTAAGCGTTACGTGTCAACTGGTTATGCGCCATTGAGGCCATTGACTCCGATTTCAGCCTGCTTTTCTTTTTGGATTTGCTTCCATAGCCTTTGTCCAACCAAGAACAAACTACAAGGCAGCAGTTGTTTTAATTTTGGAGTTGTCTCTCCTAGAAGAGTGGCTGTCCCCAGCTAACGAGCCTCATCTGCCCGGGGGTTCGAACTCGAGACTTTTCGGTTTAGCAACCATGAGCTTTACCGACTCGACCACGCCGACCCCAAACTTGATCTAAATCTAGGTGTAAAATATCTTATGGTACACCGGTGTCGGTATATGGGAACAACAACACGGTTAATAAACCATATATATATATATATATATATATATATATATATATATATATATATATATATATATATATATATATATATATATAGGGGCGTAGCGAGGGGGCGGGGGTGCGGACCGCATTTACAGGGTGACACCAAGGCAAAAAATAGCAAAATATAAAGAGATAAACTTGAGGGGGGTGGCAAATCGAAAACTTGAAAGGGGGGGGTGCAAATCGAAAGTTTGAGGGGGGGGTGCAAATCGAAAATTTGAAAGTTTGTCCCCGGGAAGGGTCGCTACGCCACTGGGGGGTGACACCATTAAGTGCCGCACCGGGTGACACCCGACCTCGCTACGCCACTGCCATTTATTAATAATATATTGATGCTTTCTTACGTAGGCTACCATTGGTTGCTAACGATCAGCAAGCTACTATACAACATGCTACTATACGAATTTCCATTACCTTTTATGGGCATTGTTCATTAGCTTCTGTACTGTTTTCCTGCAATGTCCACTCTGGTCAAATCTATTGGTGTTTGTGGTTGCCTCTTTCTGTCAAGTAAGGGAAGTAATCATGTTTTTTAAAAGTATTCTGCATTTCCTGTAGTTACTTCCCTTACAGTTTTGATATGTTTTTTTTAAGAATTTATATTTAGGCCTATATTAATTAAAAGTAGGTCATACGGAGATGTACTTAATTTTGTTTACGTTCTTGACCTTTAGCCGTTTACGTTGACTTTGACCCAGTAACAAAATCTTACTTTTAAAATCCATATATTGATTTTTTGTTTTAAATGGGCAACACATTTTTTACTGTAGTTAAATTAGAACTACTATGACCCCTTTTTTGAATGTTATAAAGACATCATTCACACTCGTGTTGGTAAGCGGGACTTCAGGCAGAGTTTCTTCCAGGCATCTGGAGCCCCCCCCCCCCCCCCCCCCCGAAAAAGTAAACCCCCCCCCCCCTGAACGAAATGGAATTTATATAGAAAATATATACTTTTAATAGTGTCCACCCCCACCCCCCCCCCCCCCCCCGAAAAAAGTAACCCACCCCTCCCGAACGAAATGGAATTTATATAGAAAATATATACTTTTAATAGTGTCCACCCCCCTCCCCCCCCCCCCCCCCCCCCCCCCCCCGAAAATTTCAAGTGCACCCCCGGAGAAAAAAGTCTGGAAGAAACACTGACTTCAGTGACCAAGTGTCTTTTCTGATAGTTCAAGAAATCCGTAGCAATTTTTAGCGCAATTTCCATTCTGGAGAATTGCGTTTTATTAACCCCGTCATTTCTGGATGTATGAATGAATGGATGGATGGATGGATGGATGGATGAATGTGTGTCCGCAGCTTTAAGTCGTATCTCCTCCTCAACGAAGCAATATCGATGACTAGTTCCAAAAGCAATTATGTTAAGCAAGTTACGAGGATGAACATAGGCCATAAAAATTCCGGGTTTCTTTCATGGATTTCCCAGAAAAGCCAAAAAATCTCGAAAAAAAAGCAGTTTTTGGCCCATATCTCGGCAACCAGACCACTTAGCGACTTGAAACATGTACCAATCGATTCCTGTCATAATTTAGAACAATATTGCCGAAGAAAGTTTTCAAAAATATTCTCTCGTTCGGTCACAAATTTTAAAATTACATAAACACCTACAAACCGATTGTTCTTCTAGCTTGAACGCACCCCAACATTATACGTCAGAGCTATTTTTAGATAACATAAGGAAATTGCGCACAAATGTCACTAGACTTTTTTAATTAACTTGTTTTTTGTCAAATCCTAGTAGATTTAGACCTATAAAACTTTTTGCACGAAATGTAAGCTTGCTTAAATTTTAAAATATTTACAACTGAATCGAAGGTGGGGGAGGGGTGGAATTTTTTTTCTTTTAACCACGCCACCTTGAAGAAAAGACAACCTTGAACTTTGAACTTACTTTACTTCTCCCCTTGCCGCTGTGTGAGGAGCGGACGTGTTTGTGCACATCCATACTCATGAAATCGTATTCATCCAAATTGTGGTCTATGTAGTACGTTGATACTGGTGACGTCATCTGCAATTAAAATATATAAATGTACTTCGGGGCAAAGTTTAAGGCGAAGGTTATTGCTTTATTATGGTATGGTTAAGTTTTTAAAAAGGATTCTTAGTCAGTGTTTCTTCGATTTTTTTTCTCGAGGGGGGGGGGGGGGGCGGACTACATTTTTTTTTCCGGGGAGGACGACGACACACTGTTAAAAGTATGTTTTTTTATATAAATTCCATTTCGTTTGGCAGAGCCCCCCCCCCCCTCCCGAGACCTATTAGAGGGATAGACATTGGATGGTGTGGCGTGGTAGTAGAGCGCTAGACTGCTAACCAGAAAGTTTCGAGTTCGAATCCGGGATCAAGCCTGTGGAACTTCCTCAAGCCTACGTTAGGGGAAGTAAAGGCGGCTGGACATAGTGCTGACCACATTATCCCTTCATATGCCGAGGTCACAGAAACATGTGAACTGTACTTCATTTGCCCAATTGATCGTTAGGTCTAAAGCGGAATCTTTACTTTTAACTTTCTTAGGGGTCATCCATAAATGACGTCACGCTTGTTTTGACGATTTTTTACCTCTCACCTCCCCTCCGTCACACAAAGCCAGACCCCCCCCCCCTCGCCTAAAAAACGTCACACCTCAACCTACAACCCCCCCTCAAAATTGCAGTTGCATTTTTTTTAAACATCGATATTTTTCTAGAATCTTGTCTAAACTATTACAATTTATTAAAACAGTTATCCAAAACGCGAAATAACGTCTAAAATTCGTTTCCTAACATTGCTTTTTTATAATGCAAAAGTGTGACGTCGCAACATCTGAACCCCCCCCCCCCCTCCCCCTCATCACACATCGTCACAAAATTACGGACCCCCTCCCCTTTACAAGTGTGACGTCATTTATGGATGACCCCTTATTGCGGGTTAGAAGCCATATTTTATTCTGACAGGGCGGGCGGGGGAAGCAGTGGCGTAGGCAGGGTGGGGGGGGGGGGTTAGGGGGGGTCATAACCCCCCCCCCCTCCATAGACCCCTCGGTGTATATATAAAAAGTATGAGGGGGGTGCAAATCGAAAGTTTGAGGGGGGGGGGGGGGGGTGCAAATCGAAAGTTTGAGGGGGGGGGGGGGGGTGAAATCGAAAGTTTGTCCCCGGGTAAAAATTGGAACCCCCCCCCCCCCCCTCCCTTGAGACGATCCTGGCTACGCTACTGGGGGGAAGGGGGGGGATGTTCTAGCAGGAACAGACTTTATATTAATTTCAACTAAATAAATGGACAGAATTTCAATAGAAACTTTACTTTCCAAGTTGTATTATTGTAATTCATACAATAGCGTTATTTAAATGACGTCAGGCCTACAATCCACCTCCCTACATACACACATACACACCAGAGGCGTATCCAGGTTTTCGTTGTAGGGGGAGCGAAAAGATAAAAAAAAGGCGCCGAATTTTTAACACGTTCTACATACGTGTATTATATATATATATATATATATATATATATATATATATATATATATATATATAATAACTAGCTGTATGTCATTGCTTCGCTATGATGTAAAATAAATTGAAAGTAGCACTCTAAAGAAATAAGAAAAAAACACACAATGTAGGCCGACAAAACAAAAATTGTATCAATCTAAACATATATATATATATAAATATATATATATATATATATATATATATATATATATATATATATATATATATATATATATATATATATATATATATATACACTACAACCAAAACAATGAACGTAACACAATCTGTTTTGGTACTTCTTGTAAAAATATTCTTACATAATAATTCCTGGGAAATTATTTCAGACAAGTGATATAGGGGAAATAATCACTCTCTTAATATAAATATGTATATATCTACACATTTAATTATAAATGTCAAAACAAATAAATAATTACTTTAGAATATAATGAAATTGTTTAACACTATTCGTGTTTACAAAATGTTTTTGTCTATAATCAGAATTTAAGATATCGTCATCATAAATGCTAAAGTATAACAGCATAATGAAAGTTTTTAAAATCAGAGTTGGTATAAAAACACGCTTTTCGATATAATAGAAAAACATTCGGAATAACAGGCTACATTTAACTAAATATCGGTGTTTTAGTTCAGATCATATATTTTAATTAACTACTGCTTCTTTGTGTTCTTATGGGTTGAATCTCTGTATTGATCACACACCTTTTACTGGTAATTGCAAAAACAATATTCCCAGAGTTTTACGTTTAAAAAGCTTATTTTCTGGCGGCATGGTACTTTGGTACATCATTACGCGTTTTTCTACATGTACTTAACAGATCAGTTCGGGGTGGGTTTGGGGGGGGGGGGGTGGGTTCAAACTTCATTCACCACAGTCCGTTCACTTTAGGTCAATTATCCAACCCAGTGTATACCTAGGTGTGACATTAATGTCGCTCTATACAATTGTGGTGGTGAGGTGTGTAGAGGGGGGGGGGGGGGAGATAACCAACTCAAGAGTGAACATAGCGTTAGTTTTTAGATGACGGTTCTAAACAAACATATATATTACACAAATATATTAAATATATATTACAGAAATAGATTTAAATAAGTAGCAGTGGTATTATGACAATATTTTTTGTATAAGTGGTCCATGGGGGAGGGGGTTGTA